GTCAGAGGGGCACTGGTGATGGTTCTTAGGCACCAAGTCCAGTTTTGCAGAGACACTTCTGGTGGACTGATCTGTGGAGGCACTGGAGACAGGGTGGCCCAACTGGGGAGACACAGTGTACAGATAGTGCGATCAACGCAGTGGCCTGGCACGGATGAGGACATGTAGGCGGTTGCAGGCAAGAGGCAGGGAAGACCAGGGGTCTGAGGAGGCCTCCCACTGTGTCCTCTTCTCTGGTAAAGAGCCATTTTTATCTGCTACACGTCAAGCAAAACCTATGCCAACTGCCAAAGACTTCACCTCAAATCTAGCAAATAAGAGAGAGGACGGTATGGATTACATTATATTTAAAACAAGCCCTCACAATGCCTATAATTTTTTATTCTGACTCCATAATTATAGCTCCAAACCAGTCAGATCATAGTTATCCCCACACCGACCTGCTGTTGGGACACATTGAATTAAAGGGTTTGCTGCCCTTCAAGATTCTATTTTGGATGCCGAGCACTGGCAGGTAACAGACCTTTCACAAGGCCTGTCTTGTCAGAGTCCCAGGCAGGCTGCTCGAAGGCCAAGTCAGCACCAGGGTTTTGAGAGACCACTGATGGCTGTGAGCGGCTGAGATGCCGTGGTGTTGCCCAGCCCAGCCTTGCCCAGCCCTGAACTGGGGCCTGGAGAGCCAAAGTGAGCACCCTCCTAGGTCAGGCCTATTTCAGAGCAACCCCTTTGGGAAGATTTTTGAGCATTGCTCTCCTCTAAGCCATGATCTGGATGGGGGGTGGTCAGAGGGGGTGAAGGAGGACCAAGCCCTGGATTTTTGGCCTACTGATTGTCACAGACGGGGCCTACTTCAGCAGAAAGTCAGGAGAGGAGGAGAGAAGAGGGGAGGAAAAGTGGGAAGGGAAGAAGACAGGTACAGGAAGGAAAGAAATCAGAGGAACAGGAAGGAGCCCCTGTGACTGACCATGTGTGGACCAGTCAAGGTTCTCTTCCCAGTGAATCTACAGAGAGCATCACCTCCACCCCACAATGACACCCAGACAGCCCGAGAGTGGCAGGTCCCCACTCACTGACCCAGAGCCCCACAGGGCTCAGGAGGGCCCCTGCCCTTTTCCATATGGCTTTCCTAACCTGGTTGAGCCTCGCTGTCCTCCATTGTCTTTATCCATGAGCTCCCGGCTGAGCTCCTGAGCTCTTCCTTCACATATACCTTCTCAGTTACTTCTCGGTTCACCCTGTCACTTGAGATATGAGGACACAGGACTCAGAGAAATAAAGTGTGCAGCTTGGGGCCACCTAGCTCATAGGGAATGAGTAAAGCCGGAGCCCAGTTGTCCAGACATCCCCAGATCACAGTTCACAGGGAACTGGCCTGAAATCACTAGTCCTGCCCCGTGGCTCCCCGGCTGCTCCCATGCCCTGGCGACGCGCTGAGCACTTAGGCCTAAGGAAGTCCCCTAGAGGGGCTTGTGGTACTCACTGCTCCCATTCTCACCAAGTCACAGAACAAGTCACAGAGCTTGCCCTCACGGCCCCATGAAGAGAAATGATCCCCCGTGTATCTTGCGTACAGAGGTGTTTTTACTCTTTAGACACTGGACTGTGTCATCCACATGACTGTCTCCTGCTGGATTCCCCAGACTGTGTCCCATGTGTTTCCTACTAGATCAACACATGGCACATGGTAGGTGCTGAGCAACTAGTCTTTGTAAGAAAAAAGGAAAGCCTGAAAAATCACTTGTTTCCAAAACTGTGCTCAGATTCCACTCTGTGAAGCCTTTTCTAGTTCACTCAAGCCAATTTTGACTTCCCTGTCCAACTCTGTAGGATGACTATTGACTTGGATCTGTCCTCGAGGGCTGGGACAGGGCTTGTCTGCACTCTGTGATTGCAGGCCTCACCATAAACCAGGCATCTAGCAGAGGTCACTAAAAAGAGAACTGAAATGCTCTTTGCAGTTGCAAATGCACATACACACAGTCTCATACATTCACACACATTCTCACACACACATACACCCACTGCAAACACTGCGTCAGACTCACACTGAGGCCACCAGGACCTGAACTAGACAGCTGTCCATGTCCCGGAGCTGAAACCACCAGGTGCTGGCATACCAGGACTGTTTGCAGAGGAAGGGAACACTAAAATAAATTCTAACCTTACAAAGGAAACACACCCCAAAGGTGTCCTATTTATGTGACAGGCTGCTCCAATTTTAGGTCGCAGCCCTCCTACCTTTCCTCCTTAAGGTGGGCCCTGCCCTCCTGCGGGTCCCTCCTACACCCTACCCAACAATCATGGCCATACCTGTGCTCCCTCCCTTCCCTGTTTGCCCTCTGGGGTTTCCCTCGATTGCAGGGTGTGAGCTTCCAGACATCCGAGGGGCCTGTCTCGTGTTTGGGCTCAGACTCCCTCCTGCCTTCCCTTCCTGATCCAGGAGTTACTGAGGAGAGGTCAGAGGCAGGCCCAGGGCCCCGGCATGTATGAGGACGGGAGTAGGGGCAAGCAGGGAGTCTGTCTGTAAGGAACTCAGTTCTTCCAGTGACCCAAGTGGTTCAGGCTCATAGCTGCTGCACAGGGGAGCCAGGCCCTGTTTCTTCTGGACACAGACCCCACTCCATAGTTCAGACAACAAACAGAGCCATGGTACAGAGCCAGGTTTTGGGAGCAGAGTGCACTGCCATTGCCAGTTTATGTGACAGTGCTTCCACTTCTCATCTCAATGTATCTTGCATACATACCTGATTTTACTCATCTACCTCCCTAGGCCCCTCTAAGCCTCTAGCTTCTGCCCAAAGGAAGTGGCCAGAGGTGCAGAGGACTAACTGAGTCACAGTGTGAGGTAGGGGAGGTCCAGGGTGGCCACTCTGATAGTGTGGCTTTTATAAAACCCAGCAGGGAAAGAAATTGAAATTCCAGAGCAGCAGTGTTTGAGCTCAGAAAAGTCACATATATCTGGTTGGTTGGTTTGTTTGTTTTTTGATATTGAGAATCGAACTCACAACTTCACACTTTCAAGACAAGAGTTTATGCCGCTGAGCTAAATCCTGGGCTCCTATCTGTTTTTTGAGACAGGGTCTCACTCTGTAATTCAGGTTGGTCTCAAACTCACTCTGTGGCCGGTCTTCCCTTAAAGTCAAGGCTGCCTCAGCCTCCCAAATGTTAGGGTTACAGGTGTGCACCACCCCACACAGCTCTGAAATGTTCTTGAGGATTTCTGATTTCCTTCAATCATTTGACTTGGAGGGCAGGCGACCCAGCCCCAGCTTTGGGAGGTCCCAGATGAGCCCACGTTGCTGCTGGCAGCAGAAGAGAGCCAGTGGCTCTGAAAACAGCAAGGGCATGGCATCACAGGGGCCAAAAGGACCCTTGTCACTGCTCTGTCCCTTCTCATGACTCTTATCTCCTCCATCCACTCCGTGTCCTCAGGGGTCCCCGAGAAGCAACCCACCCTCTGCTGGGATCCTGCTCCTAATAGGATGGCAGGCTGGGGTACTAAGGGACCCTCCCTATGCTAGCGGCTCCTTCCAGCCTCTGAGGTTCCAGGAAAGGGACCAGGGCAAGCCCAAGCCTCCCTTACAGCACCGCACTCAGGCAGACACCCAAAACACCCCAGCTGCGGTTTCCAGAGAGCCAGGCCTCCCACTGCAGGCACAGTAAACTGAGAAGCACTGTAGCTATAAATGTGCAGTGGTAAACCACGGGACACTGCCGCGGCCCAGCAGCGGGCAGGAGCCTGCTCCCAGACGCCCTGCAGGCTATAGGCCTGGCCTGCCAAGCCTCTGAAACAACCCAAAGCTGCCTGCCAGGTGTAAGCAGGGCTGTTGGAGTTTCCACAGGGGCTGGGACTAAAGAGGCAGAGCACTGCCTACCTAGGGCACGGGCAGGACACTACAGCAGTTTCCACACCAACAGTCAGTGCCACTGATACAACTCACAAGCATAATCTGATTTGCTGCTGACTTAAGAGCAGGAAGCCATACTGTCCCTCTGGTGCTTGATGCTTAAGGTCTCACTCCTGCCCTGAGTGGCACCAGGTCACAGCTTCCGGTCCTTCGCAAGTGTCTTGGACACAGTCAGCATTACAGGGCGAGACACACATGGTCCTGGTGGGTATTCTCGGCACTGCACGAAGGAAGCTGGGGAGGCTGAGCAGTGGCTGGCATTGCCATGACACCCCTCAGAGCCTCGGAAGAGTGGCTATGTCCATTGCCCAGGCAAGGAACCACAGCCCGAGAGGACAGTGCAGAGCCCAGTGATGCCTCCTGCCAGTCAGGCCTGGACAGGAGGGAGCTGTATGGAGGAGTCTGGAGAGGCGGAAGAGGCCCCTTCACCCACGACCTCTCAGAGCCTGCTAAGATGAGGTCTCTTCTCCAGCACCCACCCCACTCCGCAATGAAGACAGGGAAGGGTGTGAGAGATCATCTGACACAGCACTGTCTGTTGGGCTAGGGAGCTGGCCAGGAAAGGTAGATCACCTCAGGCTGTTCATTACTTGGCCCAAAGAACACAGAGAAGCCTCTCTTCTTCCAGGAAGAAATCCAGGGGTATTCCATGGAGCCACTTCCACAGGCTGACCCACTAGAGTTGGTGCCTTAGGCTTTTTAGGGGAAAACTCTTTCAGCGGGAGTCTCCTGAACTATGTCTCTTTAATGTCCTTTACCTCAGGTCCCCTTAGACAAAGGAAGGGATGAACAAGTGGGATGCTCTGTCAGCTACAGCAGAAGCTGTGAGCCAAGCACTCAGGCTGGGAGAGGGGGAAGAGAGACCCTGACTGAGTACCCCCAGATAGATACCAGGCCTGAGGATCAGACAGCTGGGGAGGGTCCACGATAGGCCCCCTGATGGCAGGCCATCCCCAGACCAGTCCCACCCAATGAATCAGTACATTAGCTTCCCAAATCCACTACCAGGAAACATTTTCAAAGGCTGGGCCCAGGTTTATTACCAACAGAATTTCCCCCCAAATGTCTCATTTGTAAAAAACTTCTGAAACATCAGAGGAGGAAAACAAAAGTTTAATATGAGAACAAACAGTTTTCTTGCATAGGACATGACATTGTAAGGTTATTGTTTTTCACCTAATTTAATGTAATAACCCATCCTGAGGCATCCATTCATCCAGTATTTACTGGATACCCTTTGTGCACCAGATGTGTTAGAGATACAAGGGATCCAAGGTTGATCAAAACTGACATACCAAAACCGTTTTGCGTATGGGGCTTGCAATTTTACAGACAGAGAAGAGACAGACAAGGCATTGAAGAAGTTAATTATACAGTATGCTGGAAGATGAAAATTGCAATAGGGAAAAGTCAGGCATGGAGGCTGTGGGGGGGAGTTGTAATTTAAAGTGGGCTGAGAGATATTCAAGCAAAGATTTAGGGCACAGGAGGGCCAGGTGTGGACTCCGTACTTCAGACAGCTGGGGCACAGGGGCCAGTGGTGCTCACTATGGCTGATTCTGCCCCCCAGGAGACGTTTGGCAATGACTAGAGACATTTTTCAGTGTCTCAGCCAGATGTGGGGAGAGAGCCACTACTGGGAGGTTGTGAATAGAAGCCCTGATGCTGCTCAGTACCCCACAGGGCACAGAACAGCCCCAAACAATGAAGAGTGATTCAGTCTAAGATGTCAGAAAGCAGAGGTCAAGAAACCCCAGGGTGAGTGAGAGGGAAAGGGACAGAAGAGGTGGCCAGAGGTAAACGCCAACCAGAGAGCCAGTTTTCTGACACTGGAGAAGCTGATTCAGGAATTGTTATGAAAAATATGTGAAATCTGCTAGGGGGAAAATGAGAAAGAGGAATAAAGCCTGGAAGACATTAACATATAAAAATTCCTGACAAATGACTAATTTAACATATAAAGAGTCCTTTCCAATGAATGTGAGAAGGTATTTTTTTTTTAAACTTCCTGGGAAAATGGGCAAAAGACAGAGATGCCACCAAAAAAGATAAACACGTGGATGATAAACATTTGGGAAATATTTGGCATTACAATTTACAAACATACATGGCTCAAAGTGTAGCTCAGTGACAAGGCACATACTTAGCATACATGAGGTCTCAGCAGCACCAGGGAAATAAGACAAAGAATTACAAATAAAAGTCATGAGACGGCTTCGGATGAGCAAAGGCTGACTTAGCACAGAGTGGCTAAGGTTACATAAGAGCAGGGCTCTTCCCCAGCTCCTTAGCTCAGCACCTCAGGAAGGAATGTGACAACATCTGCCTCAGCATTAAATATGCATTTCTTGACCCAGCATGTTATTCTAGGAAGGAATTATTCACATGTAGGTACACAAAGATACATACACAGATTTGTTTATGACAGCATCAGCAACACACCAGAAGCAACCCAAATGCCATCAACAAGGGACTTGTTTGCTGTACAGTACATACTACAGAGGAATCCTATACAACTTTAGAAAGCTGAGGCTTGCTCTTAGTGCACACCCAAGAGGAAAACATTTGCCCACAAAAAGACTTGTACAGAGATGTGTAGAACAGCTTTATTTATAATGCCCCCTAACCACAATGGCCCAAGATCCACCAAAAGACAAATTGTGCTATATTCATACAATGGAATACTACTTAGCAACAACAGTAAAAGGAATGACCAGCTATATGCAGCAACAGGAACAAACTTCAGAAGTGTTTTGGTAAGCAAAATCAGACATACCAAGGCATGTATTGTATGTTTCTATGTATCTATGAGCTTCTATTGACAAAACCAGTCTATCAACAAAAATCAAACGTTGCTTGCTCAGAAGAGAAACATTACCAGAAATTTAACCCTGCTTTCCCAGAAGAGAAACATTACTGGAAGGGGCAGGAAGAATTCTGGGACAGAGTGATAAAATTGGGGTATTAGTTACATGGTACATGTGTTTGTCAAAATTATGGATTGTACACTTAGGATCTGTGCTATTTGCTGAACTTAATTTTCTCCAAATTTAAAGACAAAATTAACTATTGAATGACAAAGATGCTAGCCCAGCTTAGTGTCCTGAAATGGAATGATCTCTACATGAATACTAAAATTCAGGTTAGAGGGACAGAAGCTAAGACGATACACATAGAGTATGCTCCCTATGTAACATTGGGAACACATGCCTTTACCTAATCTTCATATATGTGCTGTTATGGGAGGATACGTAGGAGACCATTGGTCTTGGCTGCCTTTCTGGAAGGGACATGGGAACTCAAAGTCTGAAGTGGAAGAGATATGTCTCAATACATTTTTTTTAACTGTTGGAATTTCTGGTATTAGGTTCACACTAAATTTTTATTAAACATAGCTTAAAATCTTTGATTGGATAAAAACATGTTCTGAGATTGAATTTCAATATTTTTCTACCCTTGGGAGCTGGAATCGGGTACACTGCCAGCAGGGGGAGGCCATGGCTGTGTAGTAAAAGTGTACACATGGGCAGCACATCAGGAAAGCGTGTGAAAGATGTCACTGGGGCAAGGAAGTGAGTTCCTAAGTCCTGGCTCAGGCTAAAAGTTAAATAAACTAAAACTCCGATGCAAAGATTTCAACCTGGAATGACAAGCTTCTGGTTTTCTGATGCAGAAGGTTAGCTCACAAAGTACAAAACTCACCTGGGTGAAACTATTTTTTAATGTGAAGATATTAAGTTTCCCTGGCAGGCTGGGAGATGAAGCTTTTAGGACGAGGTGAAGACCGCCTGGGAAGATGGGTTCTACACTAAGAATGGGACGATGAAGAGTGGTTTTTAGCCAAATAATTCAGGATTGGTCTTTACTTTTACAAATTACGGCTATGCTGTCAAGGGTCTCACCATGTGGAGGACTGGCCTCTGGGAGTGGGTTAATGTCCTGTTTGGAGCCCAGAGCAATAGCGTGCAGGGTAGTGTGCAAGAGGTGTTAAAGGAGAACAGACACCACCTTTACCAGACAGATGCCTCCATCCTCTAACCCTGCCAGAGCTGAGGCCAAGGTGCTTCCCCAAGAAAGACAGCTTGCCCTCGGGAGCTCCTCATTTAGGAATCAGATGGTCAGGAGTCTGGGGCTGGGCCTTTGAAAGAATCTTTATAGTCATAAATCCCTGAGAAAAATGTTAGAAGAGAGCAGTCCTGGCCAGAACCATCATGGTGCAGCCAACCTTAGGTCCTAATGTTTGTTTCAGACACTAAGAAGGGAGAGCTTGAGGTCCAAGGTTGGATCCTTGTTAGAAAATGTTAGAGGCAAAACATGTACCTAGAACCAGAGGTTAACTGGGAGGGGGTGATCTGGGAAAGGCCCTCAGAGACCCTTTACTCTAGCCTCTTGGTGATGGACTCAAACCCAGAGAAGTGAATGTCTTATTGGGTATCAGATGTTAGGAGTGAGCTTGGTCTACCACTCAGAGGGGGCCTGGCCTTTTGGGGTGCAGGCACTGCTGAAACTCTTGATCAGAGACATATGTGTTCTCTTGCTACTCAGCAACATGTCCCTCCTGAATTCTGTGGGAAGGGAGCCATTGGAGTGGCTCACAGTAATTACACCAAACACTTACCCCACCACACCGGTATCAGAACCTGTATTTTTTAGTGGGTAGAGACCCCTTGATTTCAGAAAACATAATCAGTTCCTTAACTCCAGGAAATGAGTCTTAATTCATCTCATGGAATTCCATCTCTCCTTGTCAATGATTATTCAAAAGGTGGGCATGTGATTTGCCAGTAAGACAGAGAGGAGTCTGCATGGGCTTCTGAGGAAGGCCGTATTTTTCTAATGAAAGAGGAAGATACACTTTGGCAGTCAGGCCCCACCCTGAGCCCCTTTTTTCCTGCCTTGAAGACAGATGTGTGTATAGGCTTAGAATATAGCTTGAGGGTGAAAGTGTGACCCTCTGAAGAAGACGGTGGTTACAGCCCAAGTCTTTGACGACTTAAATGAACTGCTGGAAAATGTACTCCAGACTTACGTTACGTAAACACTAAGCAACCCTATGGTTTAAGCCACCGCGTGTTGTATTTTCTCTTATTTGCAGTCAAAATCACTTCTCATTACCACAGGCCATAAAGGTGAGTATAAGTCCAGCATACAGGAGGTGTTGCTTAGAAACAGCCTTGGCTCCACCTCATCAGCATGGACTCTGCCTTCCTGAGACTTCCACCAGCCACACAAGCCCTCTACCAGCTGGTATCTGGTAGAGTCCTTTGTCCACCCTGCCAACCCTCCCTCCACACCTGGTTATTCTACTCCTTTCAATGCCCACTTGGGATGATCTTCCTCCCCTTACCCATGACCATCAGGTGTGTGCCTCTGACCACATAAGTCTGTCAATTAGCGGTTACACTCACCATGGCCTCCTGAGGGCCAGCCAGAGTGCTGGCTGCTTATCCAGAGGGAATTCAAGCCTCATCTTTATGCTTTTGTCTTAGGGCAAAGACCAGCTCAATCTAATTCAGCACTGCCCTGAACACATCTCAAAGGAGACAACAGAAAGTGAGCAGGCCCTTGGACCAGTCATCTTTCCCTACAAACATCACAAAGCCAAAGCTCCTGATGGTTAGAAGAAGGAGCAGGGGGCAAGGTGCCAGGCCAATTTTTGTTGGAACTATAACTGTTGGTAACTTGATGTGTAACTTAGGACACATCCCTTGGCCATTCTGAACCTTGGTTTTCTTCAATTACTACTGAAGATAGCAACTTCCTGTCTCAGGGGGCTGCTGCAAAGACCTAGTTAGATGAGTGGATTCTCCAGGCACAGAAGGCCTGACACCCAGAAGGTGGACTGAGAGTAACTGTTCTTTCATTCACCCCCTTGCCGCTCATCCCTAGCAGAAAACCAGAGACAAGTCAGCCCACTGGAAATTTCCATGGGAGGCAGAGCGTAATGAGGGCCAGACTTCAACAGTATGGTCAGGAATCATCCCTCCCAAGGAATTAGATACACATTTGGTCTTTGATGGGCTTTCCTTAGGTCCCCACACTTTCCCCTGCCCTGAAAAAGCTTTCTGTGGACCTCATCTCTCTGCTGCCAACTGTCTCCTAGGGCAATATAAGGAGGAAAGAGAGAAAGAGAGATACAGACAGAGACAGAGACAGAGAGAGAATGACATTGAGGAATAAGAGGGTGATTGCCTTTCCTGTCTCTTGTTCTCATGGGAGTCCAGAGTTTCCATGATCACTCTGCAGTAATTAGCTGTGAACTCAAGTGGATTCAGCCACCAGGTAGGCGGTGTCCCTTAGGAACCAAGCACTGCACATCCTCAGTGTCGCTCTACTGCTGCTAGGGTTAGCTATGGTGGCCAGTCAACACGGAGTGGGAGATTTCCTAGCAGACCTCAAACTCCAGCTGGACTCTGAGGTAGCCCAGCTACTGGAAATTAATACTGCATATCCACTCTGCACCTGCAAGGAAGGGAGGACCTATCCACTCCACTGTGACCACTAAAGGACTACAGTGTCCATATTCAGAGTGCGATCCCCGCTATGCGGGCCTGGGTGGGAAAAGCATTTCCCCAAAGAGTCAAACTGACCTGCCTGGGAGCAAAGAGGGGACCCTTGGGGTTTCAGCAGCTGCTGGCCCAGGCCACAAAGGGACCCAGGAGTTGAAGAAGGCTCACTGGAGAGTTCGGAAAGGGCCCGAATTGTTAGTTAAAAGGGGAAAAGCGAGGCAGCCAGGAGTGAGATGTGGAAGGGGGGCAGGTGTCCTGAAGTTGGCAGTGCAAATGGCTCATCCTTTGGTGGTGGTGCCATCCAGGATCTGAGAGTCTCCAGAATTGCCGTCACTTGAGTGGTAGAGGGTTGCCTGAGATCAGATGTCTTGTCCTGGTTGAGTGGCCCCCTTCAGAGTGACAGATCTGAGGCAGCCAGAGATACAGGCACTGCCAAGTCATTTTCCCAGCCCCCATGATGGCTGAGACTACAGCCCCCCGCCCCCATGTGAACTACCTGGGACTAAGCAGGTGGGAACCAGAGCCCAGCACGGACCAGCATGGGGCCTGCCCTCAGGGTACAAGAGCCTGGGTCCTGGTTCCTCCCCTGCCTGCCAGTCCCCAGGAAAATGGACCCTGTGTCTCTGGAGAGGATCTCTTCAGCTCTGAGCCGGCCCATCACCATCACTGACTCTAGCCCTGAAGGAAGAGGTGACCCATTGGCTGAGTCTTGGTGGGGTGTGGGCAAGAATGAGTCACCCTGGAGTGCGAGCCCCACACACTGTGCAAGGCATGTTGGAAAGTCTGTGGTCTTCAGGAGGGTGCAGGCCGTGTGCATGGTCTTGTGACTCTTCCTAAGTCTTAATATGTGTCACGTTAGCCCAGTCAGGGAAATGATCCAAGTCAAATATGGCCCGTCCCCAAGTGTTGACAGACAAAAACACACACAAGACTCCAATTACATTCATCATTAGTCCTGTTTTCGCCTGGAAAATAAAAATAAGTAAATAAGCAAACAAACAAACAGGGTCACAGCCAGCCCCCAGGGTTTGCTGCATTCTCAGAACAAGGGTAAATAGGACATTTGGAGCAATGGACAAAGGGCCAGCTCTCTGGGCCTCGATGTCCTGGTGCCATGCTCTGGAATCCCCCTACTCCCAGATAAAACCATCCCCTGTCCATTGTCACTGGTGCTCAGTGCATCCCCGGGAGGAAGGTAGGACAGAGGTTCTGTGTGTCCATTTTAGCATTGGGAGGTGATGTGAGGCAACAGCCACTCAGGAAAATCATGACAGAGCTTGGGGTGTGACTCTAGATCTGGTGACTCAAGTGTCCCACAAAGACGCTGCAGCACCCTTGTGACGTCTACTGGTTCTTTACGATGCCCACTCTGTGTTCTTGCCTAATGCTGCTAGCTACTGCCTCAACACCTCACTGTAGACATTGTCACTAAGGACTGGCCCTGCCCTCTTTGTGACAATGCTTCACGGAGACCCAGGGACACTCAGCAGAGTATCTGTGATAATTACTGGTGGGTCCAAGGATCTTTATTTCCAGCTTCTCTGGTTTGCACACTTTCCTTGCCCTGATCCAGAGCTGCAGAGATGTCCTTCTTGCGTTAGAGACAGTGAAGCCAAACCTGTCTTGGTGGGTTCTTTCCATGACTTGTTTGTCTCCACCCTCATCTGCTCTCAACAGTGGTCTCTTTCCCCCCACATGCCTACCTCTCCAGACCTGTCTACAAGTCTTTCAGCTGTCATCAGCATTTCATCCCAATCTAAGCCTCCCCCTCCTGGCTATCTCCAGGGTTCTTATTGGTTTGTGAAGTCCATCCTTGGCCATGGGGATTCCCATGGAGCCTACACAGCTTCTCCAGAAGGGAGATCCTGACCTGATATGGAGACGGGACAGCCTCTGAAGTTTAAGATCATTTCAAAAATGAAGAGCTCCATCATAAATGCAAATGAGGAACATAGCTCTGGCCATTCCTTCGAGGCTCACACATCACTCATAAGGGGGGATCCCTTACACCCATAGCATCAGAAACGAGAGGAGTAATAAAAGCAGTTGTGTTACCATGTCAGAAACTTTGAGGTGTCCGTAGGCAAACACGATGGCATTAGGCGGGGTGGCCACAGGCAACATGAAGGCAAAGGATGCACTCAGGGTACAGGGGAGCATGACGTACAACGGATTGAGGCCGATGGAACGAGACTGGGGAGAAACAGCATCACAGCTCACAGCACAGAACACAAAACGCTCACAGGGCTTCATTCAATAAAGCTAGCAGCCATAATTCAGTAATGCATTCTCTAAAGACCCACGGTGCCTCCCAACTCCCACGCCTTTGTCTTGCTGATTTCTCCGCCTTTTGTTTATTAATTTCTGGCAGATAACTGTGTAAAACACTGATGCCTGAGCTGAGAGGCCACATCCCGAAAGGCTTTTCTGAGTCCCCTCAATTCATTCAATAGATATCTATTTCTTGGGCACCTGCTATGGGCTAGAGGCAGTGTGGCCCCCACACTGCACTGACTCTTGTGGTGCTGTGGGTGTGTGTGTCTCTCTCCGGTCACATACTGAAAGACCCTAGAGGAACATGTCTTCTTACGCCTGCATGCAACTACAGGTGTCTATGTTTATACATTTGGGATTGTTTTGCATCTAGAATTTAGCATCCACTTTCTTCATACTGCATTTTTGTAATTCAGCTACATCTAATAGCACAGAATAAGCACTCATTAGATATTTCTTAAATGAATAAAATAATTCACAATATCTGTCAAAATGAATCCTTATGCAGAGATACACGCACATGACGGCGCACACCCACAGAGATGTTCACGGCAACAATGTAACAACAAAGCACAGGAAACACTCAGTGGCCATCAACAAAAGGACAGTTAAATCAGTTATGGTAGTTAAATCACTTATGGTACACACAAACAGTGAGATGGTACACAGCTGTAAAGAAGAAATAGGCCTTATGTGCTAATATAGAAAAATCTCCAACATCTATGTTTGCATTCAAAAGAAAAACATTAAGGCCTATAACATGTCCATAGATTGATCCCATGTATTTGAAAGTAATGTGTGTGTATTTGTATGTAATATACCCAAAAAGATTTTCTAAAAAGTTAACAAGTTGTTTCTAGGGAGGAAGCTAGAGGAATAGGGTCTGTGTGCTTCTTTGTAGCATTAGACATTTTAAAGTCATGTATATGTATTACATTTTCAATTTGGAATGATAATTACATTAAATATGTTTTCACTTTATTAACAGATTTTTTTTTTTTTGTCTTTTTCATTTTTATCGGTACCAGGGATCGAACTCATTCATGACTGCCTGCTTGCAAGGCAGGTGCTTATGCCGCTGAGCTAAATCCCCAGCCCCAACAGATTATTAAATAATCTTTAAAATAGATGTTAGTGGCTAGATGAAATTATATAAACATGCATTCATTTATTATTATAGGTATATTTAACTCCCTTTTTTTTTTTTTTTTGTCTTTTTCCTTTTTATCGGTACCGGGGATTGAACTCACGACTGCCTGCTTGCAAGGCAGGCACTTATGCCGCTGAGCTAAACCGCCAGCCCCAACTCCCATTATTACAGGTATATTTAAAATAAATTATTCTATCCTATAGATTATTATAATCATGCTTGCAGCCACTATTTTCCTAAAACATTCTCCCATATATGAAACTGCTGAGTTAAGAGCGCAAGCAGATGGTGCCCAGTTACGCACCTTTAGAGCAGCTAAGAGGTCCCAGGCAAGTCTAGCTGCTTCCTGGTCCCTGCCGACCCCCACTCTCCCTGTCTTTGGGTACCACATGATGTATGTACCCCTCCTTCCTCTGTGACCTGCTGATGACCACAATCTTTCTCTTTCCTACAACAGGGTTCCCAGGCAAGAACAAGAGAGGCCATGGAGGCAGATTGGGTGAGTCTTACTCAGGGATTCTAATTCTATAAAAATCTCATTTTCATGCTGGGCGTGGTGGCACATGCCTGTAATCCCAGCATTTGGGAGGCTGTAATCCCAGCACTCAGGAGGCTGAGACTGGAGGGTTGTTGCAAGTTCGAGACCGGCCTGGGCTACATAGTGAGCCTAAGGCCAGCCTGAACTGCATAGCACGAGACTCTGCCTCAAAAAGACAAGAAAAAAAAAAAAGCTTGTTTTCAAAGGACTCTGCTTGTAGCTGTCTGGTTGGAGCCGCTGGTGTCCATGGTAAGAGCTGCAAATGGCAACGCCCAAGTCTTTGCCCAGGAAGAGAAACCATCCCCACCACATGTACACATCAAAAGACGCATCTTCCTCCGTCCTCTCTTCTTCCTCTTGCTCCTTCTCCTCCTACCCTTCCTTTCCCCTCCTCCTCTTCCTTTTCTTCTCCTCTTCCTCTTCCCCTCTTCCTGGGCTCTGTCTGGAGAGCCTGCTTAGACCAGGAGGAGACAACCACCTCGCTATTTCTGACACTTTCATCTTCACTTGGAATGGCAGGAAAACCACTTAGGTTTGCTTTCTATGCATGTGGAATCCTTGGCAGCCAGATGGAAATTTACCAGTTCTAGAGCTCTGTTCAGGACCTTTGTGAGTCTGTCTCGCAGCTCTAAAGTAACTGGAGCCTCTCCCAAGCCCCTGTGCAGCCTGCAGAGGCTTCTCACAGGCCCCTGACTATGGACCTCAATGCATCTCTAGGAGGAGAAGAATTCAGTGGCACATCCGGGGAACTCAAGTCTTTGGGGTCTCAGCCCAGGGCTCTTCCCATTCCACCCTGAGGCTGGTGCTGCTTTACAAGAATGACAGGAGACAGGAGAAATGATGGCAGGTGACTTCCCTGTCAGCTCTGTTTTTTTCTCAACCCCAACTCAAAATCATGCCTGCCCATGGGACACAGTAGCTAACACTCAGTAGCCTTCTCTTCTGCCACTCGTGCTCTCTCTGGCTCAGTTCATACTGGTCCTTCATCCCTGGGCTCTCCAAATAGGCCTCTGGAGTCTTCAGCCATGTCCTCCATCTCCTTCACCAAATGCCCTCTCTCTCAATGACGCCCAAAGCCCCACCTTCTCCAAGGCCTCTTCCTGTGGTGCTCAGTCAATGGCACTCCCAGGAGGATTCTACAAAGGAGAACTCCTGCAACATGTCCTGCAACATGTCCAGGACATTGGCCTCTCCCCCTTGGCACAAGCCTGACTCCTCAGCTTGCAAAATCATCCAGTTAGGTTTACACACTAAAGTTTGCATACCTGGTCTGTTTGCCACTTTACAACAGGGGGAATACAAGAAATGTCAGCAAACCAGTAGGGTCCTCGGGATCACGGTGGTCAAGGGTGCACAAGTCCATGTCACAGCCAGGGTCAGATTCTGGTCTGTAAGCCTGGCACCTGATTTTATACCCTACAGATGCAGGATACGGTCAAGGTTGACAGCTGCCTGTGAAATGACTTCCCCTCCCACAACAGACGTACTTACCATGGAGGCAAAAATGGGCAAGAAGAGGGTGGTGGTGGCCACGTTGCTTGTGCATTCAGTGGTCACAGCAATAAGCAAGGATAAGATCAGGGAAATCGCTGCAGGGGACACACCACTCAAGGGCTCCATCTGCTTCCCCATCCACTCTGACAGCCCTGAGGCCTGAGAAGAACAGAAAGGAAGGTCACTTTAGGGGTCCTGGCCTACAGTCTCTCCAGGGGCAGAGGTGGTGGACCGGGGAGGAGCTCAGCCCGTCCTCTACTCCCAATTTTCTCTCTTGCATCCATTCCATAAATGGCATCCATCACTCCATAGTTTCAATCTGCGTCCTCACCTTGGTGCTTCCTAAAGTTGATTTCTAGCCCAGCAGATCAATCTGGATTTAAACATCCACATCACATACCTTCTAGCAATTTCCACCCAGATGTCCCATTAGCACATCAGACTCAACACATTCTCAAACAGAATTCCTTCCCTTTAGCCCCAAGGCCGCTTCTCCTCAGGGCTCCCTAATCTATCTACTGCTGGGCACCCCTGGGGCTGGGAGTCACACTGGGGAGTCAGTCTGCCACTTCATTCCTTACATCCACCAGTCACCCAGAATCTCTCACATCTGTCTTCTCCTCTTGGTCCCTCATGGCTTTCAAAGCTCAGAAGAATGATTTGAGCCAGAAACTGGGGATTTAGATTTGGTTTTTGGACTGAGAAAGATTGTCCAGGGAGAGAATGAAAAGTAAATACACAGAAGGCCACAGACAGAGCCTTGCAGAACAGTCATAGCTAATGGGAAACAGGAAAGACTGACGAAGGCTGAGCACGAACAAAATCAGAAGGAAAGCCTGAGGAAACAGTGTCTTAGAGGCCAAACTAGAGCTGAGAGAGTTTAAAGACAGAGTTCCCCATGGGGCCAAACTTCTGAGGCTGTTAGGTGAAAGACTACGGAGATTCTTCTCTTCCAGCATCCACCTACCCCAGATTCTACATCAGACATCAGAGGATATCTACCAAGGGCTTATCTCACTAAGTCACTGGCAGCCTTTGCCCTTCAGTGGTTCTGCACTGCCTTCAGAATCAAGTTTATACCCTTCATCCTAACCCCAGAGCCTGCAGGGACCCGGTATGTGCTAGCCTCTTCTCTCTTATCTCCCCTCAGTTAGACACCTCACACTTTTTTCCTTCTTCCTGAAATACCTTCCTGGGTACACCCTCCTCCCTAGGCTGTGAAGTCCTCAAAAACAAGAACTATGTCTCCATCTCCTATGTAATCTCTGTGCCTGGACCAACACTAGGGATGTAATAGGTAGTGACAGATGGAGAAATGAATAGGTAAATGGATGCATGTGGATTTGTTCTTCAAAAAAATATGTATTGGACTGGAGATGTGGCTCAGTGAAAGAGCACTTGCCTAACACACACAAGGCTCTGGAGTTGATCCTCAGCACTGCAAAATTATATAAAATACACATTTTATATATGCATGTATGTATCCACTATGCATCAGGCTATGTTCCAGATGGTGAAGAAACAGCAAGCACAAGACAGACCAGATCTGTTTATTATGTTCCATTCCTGGATGGATAGAGGATGGATGGATGGATAGATGGATGAATGGATGGATGATGGATGGATGGATGGATGGATGGATGGATGGAGGGAGAGAGGGATGGGTGGATGGATGAACAGAGGACAGATGGATGGAGGGAGGGATGGATGGAAAGATGGATGATGAAAGGAAGGATGGATGGATGGATGGATGGATGAATAGAGGACAGATGTATGGAAGGATGGATGGATGGAGGGAGAGAGGGATGGGTGGATGGATGAATAGAGGACAGATGGATGGATGGAGGGAGGAAGGGATGGATGGAAGGATGGATGATGGAAGGAAGGATGGATGGATGGAAGAATGGATGGATGGATGGATGGATGGATGGAGGGATGGATGGAAGGATGGAGGGATGGATGGAAGGATGGATGGAAGAGTGGATGGATGGAAGAATGGATGGGTGGAAGGATGGATGAAAGGATGAAAGGATGAATGGATGGATGGAAGGATGGATGGAAAGGATAGCAGCAACAAACCAGCCCATCCCTCCCTCTAATTTGTTTCCCAGGAAGTAGTTGAAAGTTACACTTGAAAGCTGCTTCTCTCTTCCTGTTACTGTTATATACTTAGGTATAGAAAAATCTTTAAATTTTAAAACCCTGTTAATGGGTAAATTCATGAAGTAGAAGAACCAAAGGAAATGGTAAAAATATTTATGAGACCTTGAAACAAACAATAAATAAATCAAAGTATGAAGCATTATTACTGGACCCTAAAGAGCCCTGGTGTTGTCCTCTTCTCTTTCTTGCCCACTAAGAATCACTTATCATTCATTTCTGCAGTTATTCAAGAATGCTTTCTCCCTTCCAGACAGCACGAGTTGTGCAAGTGACCAGTCAGTGTCTGTCCCCAAGAATGTGCAATTCTGTGGAGGAGAAAGACCCAGAAACACAAGCCCAGGGACGGAGAAGTGGAGGAAGAGGGCAGCTCCGCGGCCTCCTGGTAGAATTGGAGGACCCTGGGAGAAGTTACCTCACATCCTTTAGCCAGGGCAAATCCGCCCCCTAGTAGCAGCACGATACCCCAGGGCACTTTTTCCTGGGTCACCTTCCAATCCAGCAGCGCTGGGGGGTAAAATGGAGTTTTCATTTCTGACAAGAAAAACAAACACATGCACAACCCAGAAAAGCGTTAGAAAACAAAGCCACATAATCAAGCCAGAATAAAGCCATAAGGAGTTTCAGGCACCAGCTCATATTCATAAATTAGCCAAAATTTACAATAATTATCATACCCACTGCTGCAGAGGATTTGATAAAACCATTATGTGCTCTGCTTACAGCATTATAAATTGGAACAACTTTTTAGAAAAGCATATATTTTAAAAACTATTAAGACATTTGTAATATTCTTTTACCCAAGCAATGTCATTGTTAAAAATTTATCCTACAGAAAAAATACCCTCAAAGGAAAAGCTATGCATGAAAAAAACGTTAATTTATAGTAATAAAAAATTCAAAATAGGCAAACTGTCCACAACAGGAGAATGGTTATAGCCCCTCCAATGTGATGCTTTACTATAGAAAATAAAGACTGTAGCAATAGTAAAAAAAATTATTGTGTAGTCCCAAGCAAAACCAGAAAACCCAAACAATAAAGACATTGCATTTAAACTGCATGTGTTTTGATTATAACTACATAATATATATACTTATTAACAAAACAGGGAAAAAGAGAAAAAAACAACAAAAAATCCTGATGCCATTATGGAAACTGGAAACACACTTTCAATCCCTGGTGTAGTGAGTAAGACTTTATGTGTTTAAACAGCAAGAGAAGAGGTTTTGCTCTGCACAGCAGCAGCGTCGCCCCAGGCCTGGGAATACAGCCAGTCTTCTTCTTGGGGACGGGATGCTCTCCTCTCTAGGCCGGGGGCCCAATTCATGGGTATCACTCGCTGCCCCGAAGCCCCGCTTCAGATAATTGGAAGGCTGGCACAGGAGCCTTACCTTCCTCAGTCTGGCTGCAAAAGTTGAACTTGGGCTTCTGTGAAGGTACAATGAATAGCAAGATGGCCACAAAGATGGCCACAGTGGCATCAGTAGCATACCTAGGCAGGAAGGAGCACGCAGGAGTTTAGCCCAGCTCGGATGCTGCAGCGACAGCCACGCACAAACCCATCTTAGCGTGGCCAGCTCTGTGTCTACAAGCTCCTATATGGAGGGACAGGCTCACCGGACACGAGCACCGGAGTCCCCAAGCCAAGATCAGGATGGGGCGGGAGCCTGGCTCCATCCTGGCCACCAGCTTTGGATGACTGTCAGCAACTCACTTGCCTCTCTCTGCACTGCTTCCTGGGTAAACTTGGTGACTTCCAGAGGTTCTTCAGACTCCTGGGCTTACCAGGATAACCAAGTACTTTGGCGCTGATCCCAGCAAGCCAAAACAGAATGGTCAGTGGCAGGCAGCATCTACCTGCCCACATCTCCTGCCTTTTCCAGGATCTACAAGTTTGTGTCTCAACAATTCCTCCACGCTGAAAAGATCAGGGCCAGGAGAAACTCTATAAGTCCCCTTTTCCAAGTTTCTATCTAAGAAGCTTCTGAACCTTGGGATGTTTTTGGAGGGATCTGAGGAAAGATCAGAAAGGGAGATGACACAGCAGAGATTTGGAAGCCAGAATTCCAAAAGATCTGTGCCTACCCTGATCAACTGTCTAAACCAGGGCCAGGGCCACCCTACTTGACCATGCATTTCCTGCCGAGGGTGCTGCAGAAACAGATGCTCTCGTGGTCTCACCATAAATAATGGTCAGAAAGAAAAGTGAGTCAGGAAACCAGCAAAGTGCTTTCTAAACCCAGCTTCAGAACAAAAGACCTGATCCCACACCTTGCTCTTGCCAGCTGGACCAGAGAACAGCAGCCCGTGGGTCCACTTACTTACGTTTTCTTATCCTCTGTCCAGGCAATGGACACCCAGCCTGGCATGAAACCAGGATCACGGGAGAACCACAGGCCGATCAACAGAAGGAAGCAGACCAGGACATTGACCTCAGCAAAGGACAAGGGTCCCAGCTTCCTGTACTCCTCTTGTAGCACATCATAGGCAGCCTTTTCCTTATTTCTGCTCTGTATCCCACAACTGCAGGATTTCTTAAAACTGGAGAGTGTGAAGACAAGAGAATGGTAGGACAGACAGGTTAGATCAGGGATAACTGAGACAGAACCCAAACATTGTACAGAACCCAAATATTCCACCAGCTGTAGAGCCTGGAGCAAGTCTCTTCCCCGTCTTTCCTCTTATGACTGGTACTTACCTCCTTCCCTGCTAGGGCACTGTGGGAAAGTTTGCGAAGGGAGAGATGAATGCTCAGAGCATTCCAGGGCTGCCTCCAGAGCCTGGGTTATTCACCCAAAGGAGGCCTGGGATGTTGAAGGAGAGGTCTTAACCAAGTCTCATGGGAAAGGAGAGAATGGCCAGGAGGATGAGAAGCTGAGCAGAACAAAAGAGTGAGCAAGAAGATGGAATACAGAAATAAGCAAAACTAAGGCTGTCACTAGTAAGGGAAACCTGACAGGCTCCTGGTAACCAGGGCAGGATGGTCTGTTCTTGGATGGTCTCTTAGGAATGCCCATTGGTAGATAGTGCCGTGCAGGACCTCCATTCATGTCGGTGCTGATCTGAGAGGACAGGGAGGAAGAGAGGTTTGTAGAGGAGGCATAGAAGGTAACTCAGCTGTGGGGAGAGGGTAACCGGCACCACTGATGCATGGGCTGTAGACATCAGAGTGTTCTCTGAGGATTCTATTTACATATTCTGCCCAGTGTTGGCCTGAGCAGGTGGGCTAGGCCAAGAGCATTGCTCCTGAAGAGTCTTCCCTGCAGGAGTCCTTCAGGGGCCCAAGATAAAATTCACAAGACAGGTTGATGGAATATGGGCTGGTTCCCAATACCAGGGCTGGATGTCAACTGCCTTTGAGAACATGAGGGCTACACTAGCAGTGACAGCATGGTCTGTGGCACTGGGTACCAGGACGACAGGACATGGCCTCCTGGGAGCTCAGAGGTCAGGAAAAAAGTATTGGTGATAGGACCACAGGTCTGTACAGCTGGCCAGACTTTGCTGCACGAGGATCAAGGCCTTGTGTCATGAGATTGTTGGGCATGGGGATGACCCTGCTCTCATGCAACGGGAACTCTCTGCCATCATTGGCTCCACTGACTGCTGCCACTGTCATCTTAGACATGAGCCTGAGGTTTCCAGGATTACTCCTGGTTGTCTAGCATGGGCCACGCACCTAGAAGCCAAAATCTGAATGGTGCTGACATGTCTCAGCACCACAGTGGCTGCAAACCCGCAGGCTGTGTGGAGTATTCAGTCTTCTGATGTGGTTCCCCATAGCGGTGCCACCACCCTTCCTCACCCTCTTACACTAAGTGTTTTCACTCTCGTGTCTGTCTGAGTTCATCTGGTGACTGCGGGGTTGTTAAAAGATGCAGGATCTAATTGGCGTGTGGGAGCCCTGGAGCTGGGATGAGAGCCAACACATCCTTGAAGAATAGCCTTTATCATGATGCATCGCAGTGAATTTGGACTGACTATACTAGAAGCCCAGGAGCAGAGAAAGATCCTCAGGTCCCACGTGTCCACCACACCAGGGAGGGGTAGGGAAGAAGGCTCATAAGAACGTTCATCCTTTTTTCTGGCAGTGAGCCTGGCTGTGATGCTTGGCTGCGGCCCAGCAGAAATATCTCACATCTTGTTTAACAGTCCTGGGGGGCCGATGTCCATGGCCCTCTTGGATGAATACGACCTAGGAGGTCGCCCATAAATGTAGCGAGACAACTTTTCTGGATTAAACTAAAGGTCAAGACTTTGACACTTTTCTCCAGATGAGGAATTCAAGGAAAAGTAAGACAGATGATAGAGGTGAGGGCTTCCTTCGGCTGAAACGTGCTCTCTTAGACCTTGGTGATGTGATCCTGGAGGCCACAGAGGTGGACAGGGATCACCAGGCTGTAGGCTGCTGCACTGCTGCCACCATCCTGAGTGTAACAATCTGTCCTCCACCTTCCAGATTCAGAAGTGAACCTGGGCTACCTGTGACCCAGTGCCTGCCCCATGTTTGAGCTAGAGCACCAGGTCAGGAAGGGCTGGACTGAGCAACAGCTCCACTCCTCCAGCCCAGCAGGTCCTGCAAGTTCCAGGGCAGCACACTAGGTTCTTGGTAGGCTCTCTTCCGGCCCAGGAGACTGCTGGAGGCTGCACCACAGCTGTAGGCTTTCATCTGGGTTTTCAGAACACGGGATCTAGCTCCACTGCTGATGGCACTCTCGTGACCCTGATGCTAGGCCAGCTCCCTCTTCTCACAGGCCCTTGAAGCTTTGGGGAAGCTCCTAGGCCACAGTTACTGCTCCGGATACCTGGTATGCTTGGACAGTGAAGCTGTTCAGGGCAGTAACCCTTGATCTACTCAGGGTCATGGGGATGTAGGGCTGTGGTTGGAAAGCACGGGCCCTGCAGGTAAACTGCCTGGATTCCAATCTCAGGCCTCTACTCCCATACCACCCTCCACGGGCCATTTCACCTCGTCTGGCCTCAGCCGTAAATTGGCACTAATAATAATAGTCCCTGCATCACAGGTTATTGTATAGGTTAATGAGATTCATAAAGGCATTTGAAATAGCGTCTGGTATATCATATGTACCAACAAGCATTGATCATTGTGATTTCCGTTGTCTATGAAGAGACACAGATGCCTGCCTGAAGTAGCTCTGGGCCGTCTCCTGACAGAGGGACATCAGTAAATGAGCAGGACTTTGGGCCTGGCACAGATTCGAGGGCAGAGTGACGAGAGCTGTCGTCAGAGCCAAATTGTGCCATCCAGTGAAGGGGGATGTGCCCCCAGGAGAAGGGCAGGAGGGCAATGACGGGAGGCCAGTGGGCAATGAGAGGGTGCTGCCTTTACTATTACATCATTGCTTTGTCTCAAACCTGTCCAGTGACTTTTTTCACCAATTTTCAAAACGATTCCTCCTCTTCACAGGAAGATAGGAAAACACACCGTTTTCCCTTTAAATCACAGGTTTCCAGGGGCACTTCTCCTTCACCCCATTGCTCATCCTCTCCCTTGTCTTTACTTGGCTCAAGCTCCCTATGAAGTGAGGCCCAGCACAGACACATTTAGCCCCCAGTTCAGTCCTTCCCATCTTTGTGCCACAGACTCGTTCATGTCTTTTAAAATAGCATTAAAAGAAATGCGTTAGCCACATGTCATGGTTTCCGTCCAGAGTCTGGCCACTGTCAAGAGTGACTCTGGCTGAACCTGATGGCGTGCTGGGAAGAGGACGGAACACTGCTGGGAACCCCGAAGACACTGGGCGCAGTTCTGGCTCTGCATTGATTGGGACGGTATCGGAAGTCTGCTGTGACCTGGCCTCCTGGACCCACGCCACCAAAGGGAAGTTTGTCCAGTAGTGTTGACTTGGCACGTGGGGACAAGTGTATCTCTGATTGCGTTAGGCACACTAATGGCACTCTTGCTCTTTCTCCCTGATGGGGAGCCATGCTGGGTACAGGGGTCAGAGAGGTCCAAGCAGAGCTCAGAGTCAAGCGCAAGAGTGGCACTGGAATCTGAAGGCGGGTAGCATAGCCTTAGAGCTGTGATGTACCTAGGGGCAGCTCGGAGTAGAAGGCAAGTTCTCCTGAGATGGGATGGAGGTGAGGGCAAGCAGAGGAAGGGACAGCCAGGAAAGCAGGAAAGCAGGAAAGCAGCTGGGGAGCAGGGCAGGCCAGAAGGTAGGAAACAGCCAGGAGGAGGGAACAACATGTGCAAGGCACAGTGAGCACCCCAGGGTCCTGGGAGTGGGAATCCCCTGAAGCGAAGACCCGGCTGGAGGCGGAGGGTTCTCTGAAAGGGTGTGGCGTGGTTAGAGCGCATTCGAGGAGCCGAGCAGACTTACCTGGATCTCATATAAGTGCACTGGAGCCACAGCCAGGAGAGCATCAGCATCAGCAGCATGTTGGGGAAGGCAAAGCCGAACCAGGACACGAAGTTGACCAGATCTTTGCTGTCAGGGAACAGCCTGAAAGGAAAGTCACCGAATGCTGAGCTGCGGGAAGCAGTCTGGGCCCTGTGGCTGGAGCTGAGCGCTTGCGGGACACTGAGAGGTGCGTCCAGTTAGAGGCTATATCCGCACTGGGTCCAGCTACCCGAGTTCCACTACCCACATTGTCCTCTAATCAAATGTAGACCCAGAACATGGCCATGGCACAAGATGAGCTGAGGCACAAACAACCAACCCTTCTGTGGATCCAGACCCTGCTGAAAATCTCATTAAACTTATCGCCCATCCTTCAGAAATACAGCCTTGTACACAAGCACACATAATTTGGCCAACAGCTTCAGGGGATCCACAGATGCCTTAGGGTCTCCCGATGTGGGTTTCTGCAAAGGAAGTACCCCCTTAGAAAAGAAAATCTCAGAAATATCCCAGGATGGAACTGGAAGATGTTCCCCAGGCCCTGCCTCCCAACCCAGGCTCTGTTATCCCAGCGCTGCCCCCTTAAGCCTAAGGATGTCAAAGCAGATACACAATGTTCCTACTCAGACCAGACAGGCTGATTTCTTCAGAAGAATTTAAGGGAGAACCTTAAAGATGTCATTACAGAGAATACTTCCAGCATCAAAACAGCCTGGCTGCTGAACCTTGAATTTCTGCCCTGCTGAGCTGCCTATTCTTTCTGCTTCCCATCTCACTGGCCCGCTGTCCCCCCACCCGTCCAGAGCTCTACTCACCACCTTATTTTTGTTCTGACTGCTTCCATTTGTGCAGGCCTCAAGGCCCTTATTTACCAGGTCAGCTGTGCTCCCTCCCCGCATGCATGCACACCCTCCACAGACCTTGAGACCCTGAGGGCAGACTCAGGCTTCTCTCACTCTCAGGTACCAGACCCACCCAGCACAGATATAGGATCCCCATGGCCAAGGTCCCTTTGTGCCCAGGGCTGGAAAATTCCAGGGTAACTCTGTGACTTTCCTGGTGCCTTGCAGGGGAGAATACAGTCCCTCCGGGGCAGTTAGTGGGACTGTGGTAAGTGAGCAGCCAGGCCGTAAGTGACCCAATCCAGTCCTTCATCCATCTGCAGAACCCAGTATCCCTGGACCCAAGCCATTAACCAATGTTGGGCGCCAAAAGGCTTGAGGGATTCTTGCAAAGATGTTGATTTTCTACACATTCTAACCCAGGCATCTATGCTGCATTGTTGTCTCCCTGACTCAACCCAGAGTTGAATCTATATTCCCTGTCTGGACCAGTGTTTCTGAGCCCAGAGAAAGTGGAGGTCCCTCCAGGGCACAAAGCAACCTCTCCCATTAGCTTCCTTGACATCAAGTCCCCATTCCCTTGAATGCCTCTGAGTGGGGTGTTGGGACACAGAGCCTGCATGTCGAACAGTCTACCCCTGCCGGCTCTCACTGTGGCGCCCAGCCTATGGCCACCTTGATGGAGCCTGCATGGGGTCCAATCTACCCCTGCCGGCTCTTCCCTGCGGCGCCTAGCCTACGGCCGCCCTGATGCACAATGACTCACTCATTCATCTGGCCCAGCAGCACCACGTTGGGTCCTGTCCCAGTCACGGTGGCTGTGCCCCCAATGCTGGCAGCATAGCACACACACAGATTCATAGCTTTGCACATGTTCTTCCGGTTCCGGTCTTCCTGCTTCTCCATGGCAGGGTCTTCAAAAGTCACTTGGTTCTCTGTGGTAGGCACAACACCATTAGCTGAGCCAGTCATGGGGGCAGCCCAGCAAGTCCTAGTTCCTGACCCTGCTGCTAACTGGAGGACAGAGACATCCCTAGCCTGTCAGCAACTGCCATGTGCATTCCTCAGCCTCCAGGCAAAGTCATAATCAGGCTCTGTACGTCTGCCCACAGTCACTGCCCATGGCTAGCATAGGGCACCTCCACGCTCCTGCCACACACAGCAACTTAAGACAAGACCCATGTCCCCTCTGTCCTGAGCCCTTGCTGCTGCTCAGGCTGCTCCCTATGTGTCAAATGCCTCTTCTAACAAAGTTTCTCCACTCCTGAGCTTCTGAAGTGTCTAGCTGGTGGCCTCCCCAGACAGAAGACTCTTGCAAGGGGCCTATTGATACCACCCACTGGGCTCCATAAGTCAGAGATTGATTTGTTCCTGGTCAGCTCTGTAACCCTAGACCTCACCTAGGGTCTAGCAATCAAGCAGCCAGCCATGGGTCCTGTGCCCCTTGTGTGGGGTCCTGGGATGGGAAGGGAACAGGCAAAAGGCAAAGAGGACTAAGCTACCTTATACTCCCTGGGTTCTGTACCTAGCAAGAAGCAAGCATCAGTGGGGCACCAACCCAAGATCTGTGGGGGTGGAACAGAGGGATTTGATCTACTCAAGGTCAGAAGAGGCCTCCTTGAAGGTCACAGGATGAGTAGGAGTTAAGGGGCACCCAGTGGGTGTTCAAAAGATGCCCTACTGAATAATTAAATGAGCCCTTAACTGATTGCTGTGACTGGCAGGAGCTGAGGGTGAAACCTCATTATAAGCTCTTACTAATGGATAAGCAATGTTTTAAGTTCTACTAAAGGGTTTTTTTGCGCAGTGTTGTGTTTCTAACCCAGGGCCTTTGCACTAAGCTATATCTACAGCCTGTTGTTTATTGTTCATTCTGAGACAGTGTCTTGCTAAGTCAATATATTGCCCAAACTCAAACTTGCAATCCTCCTGCTTCAGCCTCTGAAAGTTTTGGGATTACTGGTATGCACCACCACGCCTGGCTCTAAAAGATCAAACATTTTTGCAATAATCATACCCCTAAAATTTACGAGGACAGGATTTCCTAAGTGTTTTCTCTATTCATATTTTAAAACAATGTACAGAAAATAGAGAGGAAGAACAGGAACATTTAGCCACAGAGGGAAGGTGCCACTGTTTCCTAGTACCTGGCCACGGGCTCACCTGGCAGCTGTCCAGCCTTGCCCTTGTCCACCAGCTCTAAGGCACCCAGGCTGGCCTCAGAGGCTACGCTCGTGGCTTCCATCTGTTGCAGCACAGCCTCTACGATGGGCACCATCATGGCTGTGGTGGCTGTGTTGCTGATCCACATGGACAGGAAGGCTGTGACCACCATGAAGCCCAGCATCAGCCTGCAGAGGAAGCAGAGGGGAGGAGCCCCAGAGGCCCCAGCCCCTCAGGTCCAGTCTCCATGGGGCCACCCCTTGCCAGCCAATGGAGGCTGAGGATTCTGATGGGCGATTTCAGTTTGAGCACTGAGCCGCTTGCCCGGCTTCCTCCTTCCTTCCTACCTCCATTCCCATTTCACAAACACTTCTGATGTCTGCTCTGCTGGCTACTAAACCTTGATACCCCAGACTTAGCTCTGACTCTTTTTTTTTTTTTTGAAGAGGAAGAAGAAGAAAGAGAAAGAGAAGGAGAAGAAAAACTTTCAAAAGAGTAAGAGAGTGACAATGGTTAATATATTACATATTGTTATCTTTAAATTAGTTGCTCAGAGTACAAGATATAGGCATTTAACTGTCCAAGCAATATTAGCACAAACCTTCCCTTTCCAATGAACTAAGAGGAATTAGTAGTGTAACTATTTTAACTACGAGGTATATATATAGTCTCCAACTAAGATTGGAACATGCTCCACCCAGGGACGGACGGGCCGCCACATCCAGGTAAGCTGCGGCCAGGCCACCCTCCCCGCCAGAGGACAGCTGGCGTGCACACACGCCTCTCCCAGCCTGGAGCCCACACAGACCACACAGCCAGAAAGAGAGGCGTAAGTACCGTGCGGGCTTGGCCCCCACCCAGAGCAGCGTGCGCAGTGCAATCCTCTTGTGCAGGTTCCAGCGCTCCACAGCCACTGCCACGATGAGGCTGCCCAGGAAGAGCATGTTGGTGTCCTTCATGTACTGCACACACACCTAGAGAGCAACATGGAGGCCCTGACCACATGGCGCATGGTCCTGGAGCCACCCAAGTCCCCTGAGACGAACTAACAGACCGAGTGCTGACTTCAGGGCCAGCTAGGAGTTACATGTCTCCATTCCTGGGGTATCCCAGGGTATGTGTGTGTTTGGGGGAGGTGGGGTACTAGACAGCTCAGAGAGGGGTTGGAAAAGGAAAGAGTCTCTGGGAGAACCAGGAGGAGGTCGCCAGGACCCCGTGTCTGCTCACCTCTTTGGAGTCCAGTATCTGCAAGAGCGGAAAAAGCAAAACGGGCAAGAGGGAGGTCACAGCCACCGGGATGACATCTGTGCACCAGTAAATGGCCATGATGATGATGACGTAGGCACACCTGGCAAACTGAAGAGACAACCCCGCGTCGGTGGCCGGCACACCTGCTCCCTCCTCAAATCGTCAGGAGGCGGCTGGAAGGGACCCCCAGCAGGGGGAGTCCTGTGTCCCCAGTCAGGCAGGTCCCCAGGTTCAGGCCAGTGTGGACACAGCATCTGTGACCCAGAGACTCCTGTCCCCACGCCTGCCAACCCTGCCTCCTTCCCCAGTGTGTTCTCCCATCTTCTCAAGCTTCGGATTGCCCCCTTCTCAAAAATAAAGAATAAAATTAAAAAGAAGAGGAAGAAATAGAGGAATGATGGGGGAGGCAAAGGGGGCAGAAGAGGAAAAGGACAAGGGGGGAAAGATAAGAAAGTGCCGTTTTGAATGATCTGTTCTAAGAATTACACGAAGTCATTTGTCAGAGCAGGATGGTCTTCTCCGTTTGCAAATTAAGCGCAGTCCTTTCAGCCTTACTGCTTTTTCTCGACATCCTACTCCGGTGATTTCTTCATATTGCTACATGAAATTCGTACTGATTGTTTTTAAAAGTGCAGACCTGCCATGAGTCTGATGGCCCACTTCTTTGTCCTTCCACAGCCAGCCGAATGTGGTTTCTTCTGCCCTCTGTGGCCACTCTGCCTTACTGGCCCACTTATTTTTAAGTTGGCCCCCAGGAGACATTCCCTGATGGGCCCCTGTGTTCCCAGTACCTCATCCTCCCTGCTTCCTCACACGGCTGCTCCACGTCCTCCTGATCCCCAAAATGCATCTATAAACCACCTCACCCAGAAAATCACGAGCACTATTTCCCAGCCTCTCTGTTTTTGTCTCTCTGTGTTAGAATGGTGGTGCTGAATGTGTCGGCATCTCTCTCTTAGAAAGGCCTCCAGCTTTACTGTTTGCCTTTAACATTATACGGGTGCCTGGTCCCATCCTCTAACCACTTAGCCAGTGGAAGCTTAGCTCTAGGGTGAGACAAGGCTGGGTTCCCTGGAAGCACTTGCTTCCCTGCCCCTCACTCTCTGCAGGACTCGGGGAAAGCCCTGAATATTTGGCCCCAGCCTTGTCACCTAATGAAACGTGGATGATAACACCAACCTGCCTAGACTGCTTAGTGTTTCACCAAAAATCTTACCACCATCTTTAGGAGTTATCCAGGCCCTGCCTGCCTACTCATTGCGGTCCTCACCAGTTAACTCAGGCAGGAAGGCCTGTAGTTCCCAGCTCTTTATTCTTTTTTATTTTGGAACTTATTTATTGATTGATTGGGGGGATTAAAGTCTCAACCTTGCGCTTCCCAGGCAAGTGCTCACGCCACTGAGCTAAATCGCAGCCCAGCTCCTCATTCTTTTTTTATATATATATATATTTTTTTTTTGTCTTTTTTCATTTTTATCGGTACCAGGAATCGAACTCATGACTGCCTGCTTGCAAGGCAGGCGCTTATGCCGCTGAGCTAAATCCCCAGCCCCTAGCTCCTCATTCTTAAGCTTCATTCCCACTCCTGCCTTCATCTCGTGACAGTGAAATCCTAAGAGGTCACTGTTTTGGATCAGGCTTCTGCATCAGGTCTCAAGAGACTGAACAAAAATCAAACCAGGTTTCCCTGTCACCAAACCAACAAAGTTGCTATCTAATCTCTTCCTCTTTCTTCTTTGACTTGTAATGAAATTTTATTAGTTAAAACATCATAAAACAAAACAATAAAATGGCTTGGAGCAACATTTAACGAGGATCATTGACAATTATAATCTAAGAACTGGAAGTAATTGTTATAGGTAAGGACACAAGGTCATGACGGGCCACACACCTTACCCAAAGTGCATAAGGATGAAGTCTCGTGCTACTACTTCACCGTCATCTACCATCCTATTCCCACTGGGCTTCACACCTGGAGGCCACTCTCAGGAGGACAAGGCCCTCTCCCTCCGTACTCCTCCATCCCTTACAAGAACCGGCTTTGGCACTGGTCTCAAGAGTCCTTCATACTTTGGATAAAGGACCAGCCACTGTCTCCATCCTCCTGGAGGCGATTTAGGATTTCCACGAGCCATTGTTCACAATTCTTCCTCTAGCGAAGCTTTTAAATTGTGTCAACATTTTATACAAAAGATGAAAATGGGTTGTCTCATAAACTTATTTCAGAATGAACTCCACACACTGGCTCTCCACTCTAAATGGTTGCATAACTTCTGACAGTTTATGAATGAGCCTCCCCCTTGTTCCTAAATATTTTCCTTTATCCTAAACTTACTCACCACTATTAATTCTGTTTCACACAGCAAACATACTTAATAAAACTATCTCTCCTTTCAAGTACAATTACATTTTAGCAATTTACAGACACAGGACATGGTCAAGAGCAGAGTGCAGGGCGCTCAGAAATGAGATACACTGTTGGGACCTGGGATCTTGATTTTTTTGGGAGTAAAAATCTGTGGAATTGAAAACCAATAGTCTTAACTTTGTCTAGTGGGTGGAAGAGGGTGGCCCACCCATAATAAGGTGATGGTCCACTCATTAGGAAATTCTAATTTACAAGGGTAAAGGTGGTTTATTCACAGGTAATAGAGGATCCTTGGAAGTAAAAAGAAAATGGGAAAATCTATTTGTAAGTGAAAGGGAGTTGTCCAGGTTTACTATGTTTAGGGAGAAAAAAAGAGAGAAAAATAAATATTGTAAATAAATAAACTGAGCTTGTGTCCTGAAACTGCAATTCTTCTTCTTTTTCTTCTGCAATTCTTTTTTAAAAATGAGTTTATTTTATTTTATTTTATTTTATTTATTTTTTGGTACCAGGGATCGAACTCATGACAGTGCACTTGCAAAGCAGGCGCTTATGCTACTGGGCTAACTCCCCAGCCCCTCTTTTGCAAGTCTTAAAAGAATAATTTTTGATATCTCTGTGTCCTTGTTTCCTTCCCACCTGGTTTTTATTTCTTCTACCCTACCTCACCAGCACCACCTCCCATATGTGACTTTAAAATACAAATAGTGTTTGTAGACTGACTTTACCCTCAGCAGCCCGCACAGGGGCAACACTTCCAGAAGATGCTCTGCAAGTTCTTAGCAAAAAAGGCAAAGGAGCAGGCTAGGACCACGATGCTGAGAGCTCGCTCTTGCTCTCTCTCGTTGTCCATCCTTACTCAAGAGCAGGGTCAGACTTGTAAGACACTACATCAACACAGAGATATTCTTCATCTCAATTGTGTTAACAATTGTAAAAAAATAAATATTTCAGGCTGGGGTGTAGCTCAGTGGCACAGTGCTTGCCTACAATGTTTCAGGCCCTGGATTCATCTCCTAGTACTACAAAAACAAGTAAATACATTTTTTAAAAATTTTTTTAAATAAATCTTTTTGAGAACCTCACAAAAAACTCAGGACACCTCCATGTTGCCTAAGTCCCTGACACATTCACGTCTGGAGTTAGGGGATCCTCCGCTGTGGGGACCGTCTTGTCCTTGGTACTGTGGAGTGTTCAAAGCACCCTCGCTCTCCTCTCCGGAGATGCCAGCAGCAACCTCTGCAGTTATAGCAGCAGAGAGAAGTCGCCAGAACATGTGCTGTGTGGAGGAGAGAAGAATGGAAGGAGTCTAGGGATGGTAATCCCAAAACATGGTGCCCTGGCATGCTAGATATTTTAAATTAAAGGAATTCAGAGAACAGCAGCTGGTAGTGGACGCTGTGACTACTCAGTCACCTCTGGATCTGCTTAAATCCTTGCCCCACCTTGCAAGGAACACCGACCTCTGGCTCCTTCACTGAATGTGCAGTAACTGACGGGCATCACAGTAAGGAAGACTGCAGTCTGTCGTCACACTGGATAGACGTTTACCACAAACCTTGTCCCCTAGTTTGGTCCCACTCAGTATTCCAAATGGTATATAGGACACACATAACTTTCAACCATGCCAGGTCTCAGAGCTGCCTAGTTTATGTCCCTGTAACATTGAAGGATGAATTTTAAGGAACAAGGAAAGTTAAGAGTAGGAAAAGTTTTTATCGAGACACAGCTCCTGAGAAACAGGAGTCTCAAAAGCGGGCTGCCACAAAGGCCATCTTCCCAGGGACACTTTATAGAGCAAAATCATAAGGTGGTATAACGTGAGTCAAAATGTAATCACTCCGTAAGATCACAAGCATAGCCACTTAGCTAACACTGACCTAATAGGAAGGCAAGGCTCACAGCAAGGGCAAATGGCTGGCACCATTAACCTTGGCCACCTGTGACTTAAAACAGAAACATTTTGGGAAAAGCACGCATTCAGATGTTTTGGTTCCCCACCAGTGTGTATGACGTACTTCTAGACTTAACGGACTAGATGATACTAATTACACGGTAATCTCAAATTTCTATTATCCCTAAGAGGCATGTGAGGTGGCCAACATGACATCATCTTGAGGTCTTACATTCTTCAGATGTGCCTCCAGCCTCTCTTCTGAAGACTTTATCTTTTCTGCAGTCTCCTCTGAAAGCCTAGTTCCTCTCTGACTGTATATTAATGTCTATCTAACTAGCTACCTATAATACAAAGAGAATCATTTCTAATCCATTGTCTGTTCTTTAGGCCAAATGGATTTTGTCCTCAGGCATTGTATGTCTCTTCAAAATCACAAATTCCCCTAAAAATTGTCCACATTTCCCAAAGTCTCCCTGGAAAAGTGTATTAAAGCTTCAGAATCCTGCTGGGCACAATAAAGTTAGAAATCGATGACAAAAGAAAACTCAAAAATTAGGCAAACACATGAAAACTAAGCAACATACTCTTAACTAAGATTACAGAAGAGCTGGGCATGATGGTGCACACCTGTAATCCCGGAAATTGAGGCTGAGGCAGGAGGATCACTGCATGTTAAGGTCACTCTGGTCTACAAAGTGAGTTTTTTTTCTACAAACTGAGTTTAAGGCCAGCCTGAATTACATAGTGAGACCCTGTCTCAGAAAACAAGCAACGACACAATGTATTGAAATCAAGGAACAAATAAGACAGTTCTAGGACTAAATGATAATGCCGGTACAACGTAACAGAACGCATGTGACTTAATGAAAGCTCTCCTAAGAGGGAAATCTAGAGATGTGAAAGCCCACAGCACAAACAGAGCCAACCCACACCGCCTAACAGTGCACCTCGAGGCCCTGGAAAAACAAGAGCAGCTGAAATCCAAGGCTGGCAAGGAAAGAAATTACCAAGACCAGAGCAGACTTCAATAAAACTGAGACAAAAAAATACAAAGAATCAAAAATCAAAGAGTTGAAAGAAAGAAAGAAAGAAAGAAAGAAAAAATAGATAATCCTTTAGCCAATCTAACCAAAAACAGAAAGAAGACTCAAATCTACACAGTTAGACGTGAAAAAGGTGAAATCACAACAGGCACTGCTGAAATAAAAAGCATTATTATAGATAAATATTTATGAATTACCAAAAATGAACCAAGAATTGTTTTTGTCTTTTTGAGACAGGATTTCACTATAAAGTTCCGGCTGGCCTTGAACTCACTTTGTAGCCCAGGCTGGCCTTGAACTTGAGGCAATCCCCCTCCCTCAGGCTCCAGAGTGCTGAGATTACAGGTGTGAGCCACCACACCCAGAAAACCAAGACTATTTAAAAACTCTGAGTAATTCAATATCAATGAAATTGCAAGAGTTATAAATAACCTACCAACTAAGAAAAGCCTGGGTCTGGATGGGTTCATGACTGAACTCTACAAAAACTTCAGTGAAGCTCTAACATCCAGCTTTCTGATGAAATGACAGGGGAAGGAATATTCCTGAAGTCATTCCTGGAAGTTACCGTTACCCTGACTCCAAAGCCAGACAAGAATCAACCAAAAAGAAAACTACAGACCGATCTCTCTAATGAATACGGATACAAAATTCCTCAACGAGATATTGGCAAACAGAATGCAAAGAATAATCAGAGAACGTACACCACAAAGAAGTGTCCCAGGGATACAAGGGCAGTCCAGCACACATAAATCAGTAAACGGGGTACCTCGCATAAACAGAACAAGGGCAACACCACACAATGACATTAGTACACAGAGAAAGGCCTTTAACAAGATTTGACATCCTTTCACGACAGAAACACTGAAGAAGTCAGGGATGGTGACACACACCTGTAATCACAGGACTTGGGAGGCTGAGGCAGGAGGATTACTGTGAATTCCAGGTCAGCCTGGGTCACTAAGGAGTTCACAGTCAGCCTGCACTGTCTCAAAACACACACACACACACACACACACACACACACACAGACAGAGAGACAGAGAATAAAATAAAATAGTGCTGGGAAAACCGACCATCCACTAAAATCGAAGTAGATCAAAGAATTAACTGTTAAAATAAAAACAGTTAACCTGCTGGAAGATAAAATAGGAAAAACTCTTGGCCAGCTGTGGTGGTGCACGCCTGTAATCCCAGCACTCATGAGGCGGAGGCAGGAGGATTACTGCAAATTTCAGGCCACCTTAGAAAGACATAGAGAGTTCAAAACTAGCCTGAACTACATAGTGAGACCCTGTCTCAACAAACAGGGTCATATCCATTTAAAAACCTTCTGCACAGCAAAAGAAACTGCCAACAAAATAAAAACACAACTTGCTGAAGGGGAAAAAATTTCTACTGGTGATTCGTCAGGCAGAGGACTCATATGTAAAATATACAAAGAAAGCAAAACCTGAATCAAAATAAAAAATGCAATCAAAAATTGGCCAAGAGAAATGAACGGACACCTTACAGAAGAATAAATGGACAATAAACACATGAAGAAATGCTCATCGCTGGCCATTTAGAGAAATGCAAATTAAAATTACCCTGAGGTGGTATCTCACCCCAAAAAGAATGGCCATCTCCAAGAAATCAAACAATAACAAATGCTGGAGAAGCCGCAGGGAGAAAGGAACATTTCCACGTTGCTGGTGAGAGTACAGCCTAGGACAACCACTGTGGACAGCAGTGTGGAGAAGCCTCACGAGCCTGAAACTAGCAGCTGCATTTGACCTGGCTCTGCCCCTTCTCAGCATCTGAAGGAGTTAGAGACATCATTCTACAGGGGTGCGTGCGCACCCGTGTTTACAGCGGCACAATTAATAACAGCTGAGCCTTGGAGTGGCCTATATGCCCTGTCCATGCACAAGTGATGGTAAGGAAAGGTGGTGTTTATACACAATAGAGTACTATCTTGCAATAAAGAAGAATAAACCTGGGTCATTTGTAGCAAAATGGATACAGCTTGAGACTATAGCACTAAGTAAATCCATCACAAAGCACAAATACCTCATGGTTTCTCTTAGATGAACAAAATAAAAGATAACAAAACAAAAGATAGATAATAGGAAGTAGAGAGACACAGCAGATCTTCCTCAAAGGGTAAAGGGAAGAGACAGAGGCGAAAGGAGGGAAGAACATGGGATAAAAAGAATTAAGATTTGTCATGCACATGTACAAACCACACACAAGGAACAGAAACACTGCACTGCAAACATGTACCAAAAAGTAAGGAAGGGAATCAAGAGATGGGTTGGGAGGAAAGCGAAGGAATGAGAAAATGAACTAAGATGTGTTATGTACATGGACTAATTCCCCACAACAGGTGTAAACTTTGCCAGGCGTGGTGGCTCACTCCTGTAATCCCAGCACTCAGGAGGCTGAGGCAGGAGGATCACTGAGTGTTCAAGGTCAGCCTGGGCTACAAAGTGGGTTCAAGGCCAGCTTGAACTGCATAGAGAGACCCTGTCTCAAAAAGACAAAAATTTTTTTTTAAAATGTAAACTTTATATACTACACACATGTACTAAAAAATACCTATTGCTTATTTTATTTAAGTGATTTCATAAAATGGATCATAAAAAGGGTAGAATAATTGAAGCAGAGATGAGATCAGGACACAAGCAAGGTGGAAGAGAGAAAGGAAAAAAGAAAGCCTGAGGTGGAAGGCAGGTGGTGGCTGAGGTCATTATGCCCTGAGCATTACTAGGCAGAGGTAATGCTGTCCAGGCTGCCTGGGTCCCACTGACATCTTCGCCTCTGCCTGTGGTGAACCTCTGGATTTCCTCACACAACTGCCCTGGGGGTGGAGTGGAGGGTGGGGTCAGGGAGGTCCTCAGGGGTCACATAAAAGGAGCACCAAGGAAGAAAACAGGAAAGCAGGAACCCAGGCATCTGATCTAACTGGAGAAAGAAGCACCACAATGCAGCCTCTGGAAGGACTCTCCTCTCCCTGGGCTAGAAGCTTGGTGCCCCCCCCCACACACACACACAAGCACACTTCTGCACCAGGTGCCAGCCCAGGACTCACCTGTGCCTGGGTGAGTGTGCCCAGTGGGAGCAGGGTCTCAGTTACACTGCCCGGAGCAGGAAGGTGAACCAAGGGCCTGTAATTATTCAGGGAGTCTCTCTCCCTGCCCTCGGAGCTCAGAGCACAGCTCTCCTGCCTGGCTCCCTGCCTCAGACAGTAGTGGCCCCAGACAGCTTTCTCCAGAGGAATGAGGGCTCTGGCTGATGGGATGGCACCTGAGGAGCCTCTACATTGGGATCCAGAGCCTCTGCCCTGTTCACCCCAGGGCTCTTCCTCATTCCACCTTTCCCATTTTAGGATCATCATAATCCCTCTGACTCCCAAACATCCCCCTGTACCAAGGTCCAGAGAGCACAGGGACTTAGTGCTGATCACAGCCTGAGCAGATGGTGGAAGTCGCTTCTCCTCTCGGGCTGACTTTCCAGAACTCAGAGTATCCCTCTCCGGAGGGCTCTGGACAAGCCCTCAAGAGTTCCTCTGTCTCCTAAACCTGCTCGGGGAGGGAAGAAGGGAGCCGGAGGTTTCCTGTCTGGGCTGAGTGAAAGGGCTGAAAGAGGGAAGGAGGAAGGAGCAGCCAGCAGCCACAAAAGGCTTCAAAGGGCTCAGGCTTCTGCCAAGCGGGCTGTGCACAGTACAAGGAGCCTGAGCCAGGGCGCCCGCTCCGCCCCCACCCTGTGGCCAAGGCCATTCATTCTGTCTCTCCCTCCCAGGAAGGCTAGGAGGCCAGGGCATGGGATACAGCTTCCTAGCAGCTCTGGGCCATGCCACCCAAGGCGTGAGCTCTGGAAACGTGCTCCTCCTCCAACCAGCAACAGGCAGTGGGCAAAGCAGATCAACCCTTCCCTGCCACTCGATCTAGGACAGGACTTTGACTCAGATGTGACTTTGCTGATCTCTGTCTGAGAAGGAAACAAATGCGGATGGGAGCTGGGGTGGTGGTGCTTGTGATCCCAGCATTTAGGAGGCTGAAGCAGGAGGGCTGCCATGAGTTCGAGGTTGGCCTGAACTGCACAGAGAGACCCTGTTCGGAGAAAGACAGGCAGACGGACAGACAGGCAGACGGACAGACAGACAGACAGACAGACACAAATGTGGATAGGGAAGGCCACAGCGTGATGAAAGTAGAACTCAGGATCTACTCGGATGATGATCTTTTCGTTTAGGTTCCTGACTGAGGTCAGAAGCCACCTACAACTGGACAGAGCTCATTTACTCATAAAAGAGTGAGGGAAAGAGGAGCGCTGGCCTGAGCGGAATCTTGGGGCTTTAGGCCGGCGGTTCTGCAGGCTGGTGGATTCTGGGTCAGAGGCTAAGCCTGTCACCAGGGTTGTGTAGTTAAACTCTGCACTTACATCCAGGTCTCTGTGCTTGGGCCCTGGAATCCGCAACCCCCCGGGGGGGGGTGCACCCTTGGGTCTCCGTGCTGTTGGAATTATCTGCAGGGCACCTCCCATTGGGCACCTGCAGATGCTGAGTGCGCGCGCCCCAGGGAATCTGTCCCCGCCGGGGAATCCGTGCGTTCCAGCTCGGCGCTCTGAGTTTCGTGCCCGTTACTGGACACTGGGCTGCCCTGAGAAGCAACTGACCTTGGCGGGGATCAGAATGATGAGCGGCAGCAGCAGGAGCGGGCTGGCGAACAGGATCGCGAAGGACTTGAACTTGGAGACGTAGCTCAGCGCCGAGGCCATGGCGCGGGAGCGAGGCTAGCGGGACGCAAGAGCGAGGGGCAGCGAGCGCTCCGCGATTTAAGCCGGGGCCGCGGTCCTATGGGTTAGGGGTGGCGACAACCCCGCCCCCCACGGCGGGCCTCCCTGCGGCCCGGGGCGGGGCCACCCCTTGGTCGGTGGGACGCGCCTGCCCCATGCCCCGCCACCCCGCGGCCGAGGGAGGCGTTCGCGGCCCGGAGCTTCCGAGCAGTCCCGGGGCGGCCGCGACCCCAGCCCCTCACGACTCTCCGAGCCTTTCCCGGACTGCCCGGACACAGCGCCCCATCCCGGGGCTGCCCAGCGAGGTCTGGGGTTGTTGGTTGTGCCTGCTTGGGGGTGCAGACCGCGCCCGCGTCCTCACCTGCTCTTTCCAGGCTCTGGAGTGGCCCCGGGGGGACGTGTCCGCCGGCCTCTGGGTGTCCTGGTTCCATCTCCCGAACCTCTCTCCCTTTCATCCCTCACTTCTGTAACCACCTCGGCCCCTGCGAGGTGCTCAAAGAGCGACGACTGTGCTCCCTTCCCGTGGGCTGCTCTGGCTTTTCCTGTGCTCGCCTCTGCCGCCCGGCGCGCCCGCCCAGGGCGTCCTGGGTCCTCCGGGCCGGCGGGCTAGTGAGGCCAGGACCCCTCCTTCCGGGTCTGGACCGCTCTGTCCTCCCGCGGACGTGCGCAGCCTGCCCCCTCCTGGCCGCGCTTGCTGCACGAGCTGCCGCTCGGCTCCGCTGCAGGCTCTAAACAAGAGGCTCTGCCTTCTGAGGAGGGGACGAGTCTACAGGGAAAGGGGATTGGAGGCTGCTCTGAGAGAGCCGGTCATGCACTCATCCTGAGGGCCACCACTCCATTCAGCCCAGCAGCCAAAACTGTACTGAGCACCTGTTCTCCGCTGAGACTTATTTGGTGTCAAGACAGGGCCACTATTACTTTCTTCCTTTTTCCCTGCTGGTCTTCTGTCTTATTCCACAGCTTTATTTCGAGAAGTCTTTTTCATATACACGGTGTAACCACAGCCCGCTTCTTAGTGATTGTATGCCCCATGCCCGAGCCCCAAATTTCCACAGGTCAGCCCTCCTGCCATCAAAATGTTACCTTGTTGCTGACATGTATCCCGTAGCTAGGCCTACACAGTTACTTCTGCACTGAACACAGACTTTTCCCCCCTTATCATTACCCCTTACGCAATAAAGTATATTTGCATAGCGTTTATTTTGAATTAGGTATTACAAGTAACGCAGATTAAATGTAGGGAGGGTTGCATCGGTTATATATGAAGCTGTTTTATAAGGGACTTGAACACCCACAGATTTTGGTATTCCTGGGAGTCCTTGAACCGGTAGCCCTACCAACACCACTGCTATAGGCAGCTAAGTTAGAAATTAAAAAGATGGACTGGACCCTCAAGGAATCATAGGGGGAAAACATGGGCATCAAAATTGTGACTGGAGGCACATTAAAGGTCAGTCCTCAAGATAGAGATGCATGCCACCCTAAGGAATAATCACTTGAGGTTACATCATAATTAGCCCCACTCGGCCCATTAAGTCTAGATAACCACCAGTCACCAGCAGGGTGATCAGAGCATCTAGACCCACCCCTTCCTGAAAATCGCTTTGTTCTTTCACTGCACCCTTGCTATGTGACCTGCTTTCCTACTTGATCAACATTAACAAAGCAGCTGTACTTGTAGTTTGACCCCTGTCGCACCCTCATTGTGCCTTTGCTGTATAAATTACCTTGGCAGATACCCCATTTGAGACCCCTCCCTGAAATCCAGGGACCAATCTTCTCTACTTATTTCCAATAGAAGTCTCCTAATTTCATCTTTTGGCTCAAGACTTCATTTCTCAAGGTTGTGGGACTGCAAACGTGACACATTTGACATCCAAGAAACTGCATTATATTTCACCTATATTAACACACTGAAGGGAAGGACAACTGTATTTCCAGCTTCTTTGTGTCTCAGACCCTAAAACTCAACACGGCTTAAATCAACTTCATGACCTTTCCTGTGACTTACACCCAACGACACACGTATTGTCCCAAGTCCCTCCTGCATTTTCTTTTTGTGTCCTTTATTGTTGTTGTTGGTTGTTTGTTTTGAGACTAGATCTCACCATGTAGCCCAGTGTGGCCTGGAACTCCCTTCGATCCCCCTGTTTCAGCCTCCTGCCTGCTGTGATTACAAGTATGCATCTCCAGGTTTGGCTTGTTTTGCAATTTTAATTTGTATGACCCTTACCTACCCACCCCCATTCTCCCAGCACATTTTAGCACAATTTGTAGTTATACATTTGTTGATCTGATTTTCATTTAACATTGATTTTATTTATATTGCACATTATACTGCATTTTTGCTGTGCCTGACTTGAAGTGTGCACTTAAAACATTTTCTCTGGGACGTGTAAATGAGCACAAATAAACCATTTCAATACATAACACAACTGCTTTAAGGGAAAGCATAATAACAAAGAGCATCTGCCTCACAGCTGGACTACCCAGAGACACATCTTGGACTGTCTCATCCTATCCTGAGTCCTCTAACCTCATTTGTTCTCTAAGAGAATAGAACCAACTTTCAGGTGTTTGCTTTCAAGACTCTATGAGTTATTAGTGTGCAGAGAATGCTAAACAGTGCTTTGGATTTAGGTGTCCATCAGTAAGGATTTGCTCTACAATTGCATGCAACGTACTGTGGCCGGCAGGGACCTTGGAAGCAGGCTGCTCCAAATCTGCCTAAAGCAGTAGAGGCAGGTTTCACAGAGGAAATTGCTTATGGGTTGACACTTCAAGGCTAAGCGAAAATTTGCTAGATAGCAGTGAAGAACAGTCAGAAAGCAAGAAAGAAGCACTCAAGATCGTCCATGGATACTAGAAACTAGTGAGTATGACAATAACCAAAAGCTGAATGGAGATATTGTACCAAGTTCATGGATAGAACAACCAAATGTCATTGTAGAAGTATCCATCCTTCTCAACCTATAAATTCAATCTAATTCCAATTAAAATTCTAACAGGATTTTTATTCAGCAAGCCTGAAGTTCAAGCAGATTAGCAAAGAGTCAGTACAGTCAAGACGACTCTGGAGAATGATGGGTGGGCAGAGGAGTTGCTATTAGACATCAGTGAGGATGAAACTCGCTAACTGAAGTGATCATTAACTCCTGGAATGAATCCATAAAAATAGAAAAGTAGAAAAATGTATTATATTATGACAAGTGAAGGATTATACTTGAGAAATTGCATCTGCTATCTTCCTGTAGTATATGCTATACCATTACTTCATATATGATATTGACAACATCATAAAATGCACAAATTATGTTGCATCACTACAATTTTTATTGATGTAATATGGCTCTTTTTTAAATATGGCTTTTTTAAAGTAAACTACTAGCAGGCTGTGCTCAGTATTTTATTTCTTAGTTTTAATAATATTCCTGCAGGTGCGGAAGATGGTAGATCTATAAGTAGCAGGATGGAGAGCCTCTCTGAGAGAAACAGCTCAGACATTGGAATTTAACACCATGGAGAACACCAGATGAAAGGAGAGGGATTCTCATGACTCAGGGAGAAACTAGGGAAAAAGAAAAAGGAAAAGAAAAACGTGGACGGAAGACTTGGAGCCAGATGTGCTCCCACTGGAGCTGGTCCCACGGTGTGCGAGCACTGCTGCTGGAGTCCAACGACTCACCATCACACTGAAGCAGGGGGCTGGCGAGCCCAAGGACCTCAGCAGGAGGATGTGTCACAATGGAGAACAGAGTCAGCACTGAGAGCTGCACTGGCCTGCAATGAGTGCTAGGAATTTGGTG